TTACCACTTTCCTCGGACGTAATTACATAACAACCGTAGTACAGACACGTAATTAAGTCTATATTTCTTTCTTTACTCCATTACTTTCATGGTTTTATCACCATATTTTATACAATTACTCTTTTACCATTATTTTTCGCCATCACTTTTTTCACTCCGTTACCTCATTTCATCTTCAGGGATGTGCGGCTGGGGACTCCTCAACAACACCGACTACCGCTGGGAGTTGGGTCGTAACCTGAGCGACGATGGCTACCCCAACAGCTTCATCTACGACCACACTTTAGGCACTGCAGAGGGCCACTTTCTCTACGTGGACAAGGGCGTGGGGGAATACGATGGCCCTGCGGTTGCCCTCTCGCCTACGCTGCACGACGCCTATGTCGACTGCGGCTTCACCTTCTGGTAATAAGAATTCTTAAATGTTTTCGAAAAGCGTGTGTGATTTTTGTTTTGAAGAAATTAGGAAGGGTTGAATGTATATGAAAGGTTCGGCTACGAAGTATGTGCTGTCCTGCTTCGATATGTCCTTTACTCTTTGCACTTTGTTCGACTATCACAGTGTGTCTGTCTCTGATTACCAGTGTGTCTGTCTTCTCTCCTCTCTTCTAATTTTCCCTTTCCTGTTTCTTTTTCTTTTTTTGTTTCTTTTTCTTATGTTATTTTTGTCGCTCTGTTATTATTTTTTTTACTTGTTTTTCTTGTACCTGTTTTTCTTTTTCTCTTTGCTTTATCTATCTTTTATTTTATTTCATGATATTTCATCTTCTATCATTTCATTTCATTCTTTTATATGCTATTTTTTTATTTCCTCACCTTTCATTTCCTTTCTTTTTTTCTCTTTTTCTTTGCATTCATCTTCTATTTTTTTCTTTTTTCTGTCTTTCCTAACCTTCTCTCTCTCTCTCTCTCTCTCTCTTCTCTCTCTCTCTCTCTCTCTCTCTCTCTCTCTCTCTCTCTCCTCTCTCTCTCTCTCTCTCTCTCTCTCTTTCTCTTTCTCTCTCTCTCTCTCTCTCTCTCTCTCTCTCTCTCATTTTTTCTCTCTCTACCTATCTCCCCAACTATCAACTTCTCTTTCTGTTTATTTGCCTTTTATGTAAGCAGTCGAATATCATGTAATTTTTAGTAGTGTATTGTCTCCTTATATGCTGTATATTTTATCTACATTCTTTATTTTTTCTGACTACTCACTTTCCGTCCTTATTCTATATCAATATAACAATAAGATATGCAATGTAATGCAACTTGACGCAGTGCATAATCACAGTAAATAAAACAATATCACCACACATAATTACATAGAACGGCATAACAAAACCCAACATACAAGAACAAAGCATAGCAGAACACAATATACTACATGTCATAATATACCAAAGCATAACATAGCACGCAACACGCTATAACAGTAACATAACGTAAGACATTATACAGTAAAATAATACAATAACATAACATATCACAATAAAATAACACAGCAACGTAACATAGCACGACAAAATGATAAAGTGGTTGTGCTCCAGGTACCGCGAGGTGTCAAGCACGGACCTCGGCCAGAATATTGTCGTCGAAATCGGCGTTCTCAGGGACGGGGAAGTCGCGCCCGCTCACTACCTGGTAAACGACCGCGAGAGACATTGGGCGAAAGCAGAAGTCGTCCTTTTGGGTAAGTCTGTTTCTTTTTTCTTATTGTTTTTTTTTTTCTTTTCCTCTTTGTTCCATTTTTCTTTCTTTTTGTCCTTTTCTTTCTTTTTCCATTTAATTTTTTCCTCCCTTTACATTTCCCTTTCCATTTTCATTTTCTTTTTTTTTTTTACGTTTTTACGTTCCTGTTATTATTTTCTTTTGTATCTTTATATTCTTCTTTTTGTATCTCCTTTTCCTCTTCTTCTTCCTACCTACTTTGGGGTAGTGAATTCGGATATTAGTTCTTTTGTGAGGTTGTCACTGTTTATTGTAGTCATAGCAGTCATATTTATTAAAATTATGATTATTATTATCATCATCATCATTCAAACTATATTCACTACCATCATCATCCTCTTCGCCATCTTATCCTCATAATGATCACTGGAACCATCCTCTTAGAATCAGTATCATCATAATGGTCATCATCACAACCACTGTCATCATAATCATTATTCACATAATCTCCAGGTTCAACTTTATTACAGTATCACCATCATCATTAGCAGTAGCAGCAACGGTAGCATCATTGCTATTGATGAACCTATTCCTATTGATATTTCTATTCCTGTTTTTATACCTATTAGTATTACAATTACTGTTGCTATCATTGTTACTGTTTTTATTATCGTGAGCTTAATTGTCAGCATCAGTATCATTATTATTGATAATACACTCATAAACATTTTTTGCTTATTCTAACCGTGCTTTGAGAAATCACTGCCTTCAACATCAGACTGGATGGGCGAGTTTCAGCTGCGAATAGCGGCTGTTACAACGGCTGGACCTTCCGCCCTTACACTGGATGACTTTACCTACAGCAATTGCCAAGTACCTAATACTACTATGGTTTGCCTCAATAATCAAATCACCTGTGCCCAGACAGGTGAGTCGTTTGAGTATAATGATGTGTGGTTGTTTTTATTTCAGTGCTGTATTTGGATTAAAAGAAATTAGGTTCGTTAGGCAAATCGAGTTCTAAATCTGTATTTTGGGGATGACTGCAAAGAACATACGAGGGTTTTCTTCCAGGTTTATGCGTTGACGAGAGCCTAGTATGTGATAACACTAATGACTGCGGAGACTTGACCGATGAGGTAGACTGCGGCGATCACAGTGCTATTTGTACCTTCGAAGAGAATCAGCCCTGTGGCTGGATGCAGGAAAAGGATCAGGACGACCTGGGTATGTACCTAGCTGCCCTCTGACCTTTTGCAATAACAGTTTATTACAGGCACTACCCTCTTCTACTATTGGACATGTTATCTCAAGTGTTTTAACTGATGTTTACCGATTTCAGATTGGATATTAGGCAACGGTGCAACCCCAGCCGGCGAACACAGTCATCTGACAGGTCCCTCAGCTGACCACAGTACTCGGCTCCCTCTTGGGCATTATCTGTACGTCTCTCACCCCCAGGTACATTCTGGCACTCGCAGATCCTGGCTTCTTTCTCCCGTTCTACAAACTGCCGCAAATGCTCAGTGCGCCTTGAGATTTCATTTCTATATGTATGGAAAGAACATCCAAGAACTAAACGTCCATACAAGACAACAAATTTACGGGGACATGACACTGAGCTTCAGCAGGAAGGGAGAACAAGGACAGTTTTGGAATCGAGGAGTCGTTTTCTCAGCCACCGCCGAGCCCTTCCAATTCATCATCGAGGCTGTGACGAATGGCGAAGACTACTCCGATATTGCGATTGACGACCTCTCACTCACCGTCGCTTGCCTCGCCCTTAATGACACACTGCCCATTGGTACAACTCATCTCCCCCCCTCCAACCCATGTAATCCCGGAGAATTCTACTGCGGCGTCGGGGATGAATGTGTATTTGCCTTCCAGCAGTGCAACTGGCAGACTGACTGTTCTAATGGCGCTGACGAAGAGAACTGCGGGGCTTGTGACTTCGAGTCTGGATACTGTGGGTGGCAGGATAGCAGTGTTGGAATATACCAGTGGCGGCGGATACCTGCCGGTGAAGTGTCTCCTTTTTTGCATCCATCAGAAGACCACACTCTGGGCAGTGACTCTGGCCATTATTCTTATCTTGAAGGAGCAGATGGGTTAGTGGGAAAAACTGCTGTCCTATCAAGCCCATATCTCTTGCACCCACATGTTGGGTATTGTGAACTACATATCTGGTTATATGCCAGGAATAGCATAAATGTTTATTTTGCTGTGTACAGTAATGGAGTTGGTAATTCTGTTAGGCAGCTTGTTTATAACATGACCTCTGCACCTGAAGAAACATGGTTCGAAGTACTCATAACATTAAACTTTGTAAGTGTCTATACTTACTTGACCCTTGAAGCAACACCTGTGCTCGATGAGAGTGATGCATGGGCTGAGTCACACTCATCCCTTGCTGTGGATGACATCACTTTCTTTGACTGTGACGAGAATCCTCATAATTTAGACTGCAATTTTGATGATCCAGATTTCTATAAAGGATTTTGCATGTGGCGCCAATCTTCTAGTGATCAGCATGATTGGAAGAAGTCAGACATGTTTCCAGAGCCATTACCAGATCACACAACTGGTTCAGGTACTTACGTGTTTGTCGATTTTGAAGACTCGACCGCCAGAAAGGGCGACAAAGCAAAACTAGTTAGCACTTTACAGGAAAAGCCAATTGAGTATGAGAATACCTTTACTCTGTGGTACTATATGTTTGGAGAAAATGTAGGAAAATTCAGGATAATCATGAATGAAGTAACAACAAATTCAGAATACACGCTTCTAGAATTATGTGATTCTCAAGAGGACCGATGGCTATTCTTTTATGCAATACTCGATGTGAAGGACGACTTTTTTATTACTCTCGAAGCTGAGTGGGGCGACCTCGGCCCAGGTCTGATTGCAGTTGACGACATCGTTATGAAGGGGAAACTCCAAGAGTCACTCTGTGATTTTGAATATGATTTTTGTCAATGGAAGCAAGGAGATGAAGGAGACACAATATGGAAAAGAACTCAAGGAAAGAATAGCGAAAATGGATGCCCTTCAGTGGACCACACATCTCATAGCGAGGGAGGCCACTACCTGTGCCTACGTCTAAATGGTCATGGCAGCAAGGGCTTCTTATTTTCTCCAGTTTATGAATCAGTTGGTGTACAGTGCCTCAGATTTTGGTATCATATGCTGGGGAATGATGTAGGATACCTTACTGTCCTTGTACAAGATCAAAATGATGGTGGACCCTTTGTTCCTGTTTGGTCCTTTAGTGGCAATGCCTTCGAAATGTGGAGTCAGGGCTTGGTCACCCTTCCAAACCTTCAGAAATATGTGCTTAGTTTTGAGGGAATAACAGGCAGTAACAATAAGAGTACAATAGCTCTGGATGATCTAGAATTCATTCCTGGTGCCTGTCCAAAAGTACACACATGTGACTTCGAATATGACCTATGTGATTGGTACAATACAAATAACGGAGATGACACCTTTGACTGGATAAGGTCCTCAGGTGAAAAGGGAGAAGGTCCTATCATAGATCACACAATAGAATATGAAACGGGTCACTATTTGATGGTGACACTACAGGATAAGGTAAAGGGAGATTCTGCTGTGCTCCATGGAGGTCTTGTTCCAGCTTCAGAAAAGTGTATGACCTTTTGGTATTCGATGCAACACATTGTTAATAGTACATTGAGTGTCATTATGGTTAGTGAGGGTGATGGAGACCCTCTTATAGAACTTAAGAATTCCTCTTTAGAGTATATATGGGAAGCAGTCATATTAACCATAGATGCAGAGTTAGAATACTATAATGTTATGATCAGACTGTTGATAGATGAAGACATAACATCCACATACCACAAAACAGTTGCCATTGATGACCTTGCCTTCACAAAAAGTTGTGCAGTTGTAACACAACCTATAACACCAACACCAGTGCCTACACATCAACCAACACAGTATGACTGTGACTTTGAGAGAGAAGATAGTGAGACTTGTAACTGGCAACAGGACACAAATGATGGCTTGAACTGGCAGCGATGGAAAGGCAGCACGCCAACATCAGACACAGGGCCACTCACTGACCACACCACAATGACAGAAGATGGCTTTTATCTATATGTTAGTACCACAAACCAACCTGGGCGCACTGCAAGACTTATAAGCCCCACAATTGACTTGAGTGGTGAAGGGGCTTGTTTGTCCTTCTGGTTCCATATGCATGGCTTGGATGTTGGCAGCCTAGCTGTGAGGTTACAGGAGGGTGCCACCTTCAATCAGCTTCTCTGGGAACGAGCTCATGAACAAGGGCGTGGATGGATGCAAGCTCAGGTGCAAGTTAAACATGAAAAGCTATGCCGCATGATCTTGGAGGCAGTACCTTGGGACTTTGGAAAAGGTGATATTGCTCTTGATGATATTACTGTGGAGTTTGGCCACTGCAAGCTTGGCAAACTATGTGATTTTGAAAACGGCTTGTGTAGCTTTGAGCAATACCTCGAGGATGAACTAGACTGGCAACTAACATTGGCCTCATCATCTGGTGTGGGAGATGGATGGGGTACAGGTGAGGACCACTCACTTGGCACTGGTCTTGGCCATTATATCCGTCTTGAGGGAGAAGGCACAGGTGAGATTTTTACCGATCAGATTGATGCCAGTTATAAGTGTGTTCAGTTTTGGGTGTATTCTAATGGAGATTCAATGTATAAACAGACAGAATTAGAGGTACGCTTACGCACAGGTGATATAGTTGAAGATAAACCCTTGCTAACTATTACAGGACTTTATAGCCATGCATGGAACTTATATAAGTTACAAGTTCAAAGTGTTTCGCCCTACTCACTTAGCTTTAAGGGAAAAGCATATGCATCATCTTTTCTAGGGCTTGATGATATCATACCAAAGTTAACATGTGAAAACTTTGATGAATGCAATTTTGAGAATGATATGTGTATGTGGAGAAATGAGGTTATAAGTGATGATTCAGACTGGTCTCTCATAACAGCTGATGGCCTGTCTGACAAATATAGTCCACAAGTAGATGCTACCTTTAATAGTGTTTATGGTGGCTTTGTATATGTTAATACAGCAAACACAGATGGCACAAATAAGCGATCAGAAATCGTACTGAATGTGTTAGAGCCAAATATATGGTGCCTAAGTTTTTGGTTTCACATGCAAGGGTTAGGGCAGCCCAGTTTAGCACTTATAGCACAGGAATTGGACCACAACACAGAGGGCACACTGTGGATTCAAAAAGAGACTTTTCATGCTGATTGGAAATACTCACAAGTCACAGTAGATAACACAGCTTCAGACTCTGATGTTTTAGTTCACCATAATCTCAAGTTTGCTGCGGTGTCTGACAAAGGGAAACCAGGCATCATTGCTCTTGACCAAACACAAGTCACAATTGGACACTGCAGTAATGAAACAATGCAAAACTGTTCCATGAAGTGTGACAGCCTTTGCTTGTTACAAGAGCAAATGTGTAACTTCATACAGGACTGCAGTCAAGGGCAAGATGAGGTATTCTGTGGGTACAACTGTACATTTGAGGATGCAGACGATCACTGCACTTGGCACAACATGGAAATAGGCGGTGACTTAGTGTGGTTACGTAGAAGAGGTGAAGGTAATGATTCTTTCACTCCTCCTGTGGACCATACCCTCCAGACTAGCCAGGGTTACTATATGGCTGTCACCCCAAGTTTCCCAGACATCCGAGTGCCAATTAATCCCCTCCTCCTCAGCCCAGCTCTCCAAAATTCTGCACCAAACTGTCGCATGAGTTTCTGGTATGTGGTTTATGAAGTGCCCAATAACTACCCAAATTCGAAGGTAAATTCTTTGATTGTCTCATACAATGTGAGCGACATAAACACCATATTGTCACAGATTTTTGCCACTCAAAAGGAAGAGTGGATGATGGGTTTAGCATATATTGGAAGGATACGCACCCAATTTACAGTTCAGATTGAAGGTATAAGAAATCTTGAACTACCAGGGTACATAGCAGTGGATGATATTAATTTTGAAGAATGCTTTCTTCCTTCGCCACAGGAAGGTGAATGCACAGGCTTTTCATGCGAAAACAGAGCCTGCATTTCTTCATTTGCTGTTTGTGACTTTGTTGATGACTGTGGAGATTATACAGATGAGAAAGATGGCACTGGTGAGTGTGACAAGTACGTAGGCAGGTGTAACTTTGAGGAAGATGAGCCATGTTCTTGGAATGAGGAAGATGGAACCAACTGGAAGACAGGATCCCCGAGCCAAGATGACATCATACCTTCACGTGACCATACCTTGAATACGGCCTCAGGCACTTACATTTATATAGAAAGCAACATTTACAACCTGAATGCAACCACAGCTAGACTGTCTAGTCCTGTCATCCATGTTCAGGAAACATATTGTACCGTGAGGTTTTATTACTACTCATATGGTAAAGATGTTGACAGAATTGTTGTCTCAACAAGAGAATCGTCAAATGGACCTCTACATGATCGACTTTTCGTTAGAGGTTCTGTAGGACAATACTGGGAACGAGCAGAACTGTTCATTCAGAAAGAGGAACTAGACATCAAGCCATTCCAGTTCATAATTACTAGCGGCACCGTCAGTTTCTCAGGTAGTTCAGGAACTTCAGTCATTGCTCTTGATGATATATCTCTTACCAATGGTTGTCAGCTCACAGACGATACAATACCAACTGAAACAACGCCCATAACAACAACAACAGAAAACCCATGCAACAGTGGTTTCCATTGCAACAATAATCATTGCGTTTCTGCTGAAAGTGTGTGTAATTTCAATGATGATTGCGATGATGGCAGTGATGAATCTCACTGTGGTGAGTGCGACTTTGAAACTAACACATGTGGCTGGGAGGATGTAAGTCATGGTCAGTACCGTTGGTCAAGGGCAAAAGAAACAGTGGGGCATGTGAGTTATATTATGAATGTAACTGAACAGCTAGAGGGAATATCAGACAATGCTGACCTAGAGAGTGTCATATTAGGACCAACATCAGCCTCATGTACCATGTCATTCCTTTACTACAAAAGTGGTGAAAATTCAGCTCTTGTTGTTACTATGCTACAGGTCTCCATGGAACTAACACTTTGGGTTACAACAGATAACGTGGGTGAAAGGTGGCACACACAGACTGTTGGTATTCCTGAACACCCTGTTGGTTGGAAACTGAGGTTCAGGTCTATGAAATTTTCAAAAGAAGACAGAGTCATGATAGATGACATACAGTTTCACAATTGTAAGCAGCCAACACCCATCATCTGCCATGATGATCACTTCTCATGCAGTAATGGCAATTGTATCAATAAGACTCTTGTATGTGACTTTAGCAATGATTGTGGGGATGGCTCAGATGAGTTAGTTTGTGAAAAGTATCCCGGCAGATGTAATTTTGAAGTAGATTTTTGTAACTGGCAGCAAGAGCATTCTCCTGACCTCACATGGATGAGAAAGACAGGTGACCTGTTAGCAGAAGGCACTGGTCCTGGTTATGATCATACCTATGGAAATGATACTGGATACTATGTATATCTTCAAAGCGTTGAAGGTTCAAAAGGCAAAAAAGGTCAGATTTTTAGTGAATCCTTTGCACCTACGAAAGGGGAATGTCATTTCAGATTCTGGTACATGATGAGAGCAAACCAAAGTGCCACACTGAGAATTTTTGGCGAAGAAACACAAAAAAGCACAACCAAGACAAAATATGAACTGTTCGAGACATCGGGTTCTGATGACTATCTTTGGATTCTGAAAGATCTGGATATCAATATTCCAAGATACTTCAAAATTGTTCTAGAGGGCATTGCTGGGAATCCCATAGAAGGAGATATTGCTGTTGATGATGTTTCTTTCTCAGAGAATTGCCACAGCCTCTACTGTAAGCTAGGAGAGTTTCCTTGTAAGTCTTATGGTTGCATCCCAGCCACAAGCGTATGTGACTTCCGATTAGACTGTGACGACTTCAGCGACGAAAACGAATGTCCAAACCACTGTAGTTTTGAGGATGGTGACTGTGGGTGGAAAGAAGTTGAGAATGATGGCCTAGACTGGGTAGTGGTTCACAGCAATGATATGGTGTGGGGAACTGACCACACAGGACCCTTCAATGACTCGACTGGCAATTCAGATGGACATTTTCTAATGGTGCATAAGCAAACAAAGTTGAAGGAAGAACAGGAAGCAAAGACTTTCCTTCACTGGTTTCAGAATTCTGCTGCAACCTGCGTATTTGAGTTCTGGTTCTATACTATGCCACCCCATAGCTCGGATGTTACTCTGTGGCTCAACACTTCTATAGAAGAATTTACTGTTA